TCTTTTTGCCATTTTTAAAAATTGTTTTGAAAATAAAATACCTCAAAATGTATTCTCACTCATGTCCCCCTCTCTCTCTCTCTCTCTCTCTCTCTTCTTCCATCATCTCTGTAACTTGCCGGAACCCCATCCTCCGGCCACTGTCTTCATCGCGGACCACCACCGGTCGACTGCCCACCTCCGGGTGACTCAGAAACAGCCCTCAATTTAGTCCAACAACAATTAATTGAAATGAAGGTCACGATCTCATTTCGTGCAGTTTGAAGAAATCTGTGATTCTGGCGACGTCCGTTCAACCCATGGTCGCGGACCACATGGGTCACCTTCCTCTCCCTCTGGCACACCTAACACAACGATAGGTCAAGCCCAATTTCAACTACAGCTCGCTGATTTTATGTGTGAACTTAGGTTGAAAACTGTTAATTTGTGGTGGTGGCGGCTGTGGTTGGTGATGATGGTGGTTAGTATTGATGATGGTGGTGGTGGTGATGGCACCGTTTGGTGGCGATTTTTGTGGTGGCGGCTGTGGTTGGTGATCGGGGGTTGTGTGGTGGTGGTTTTTGTGATGGTGGTTCCGACAATGGTGGTGGTTGGCGTTGATAATAACAGAAAACAACGAAAACACGTTTTGAAAATATATTTTTGTTGACCTATGATTGACTTTAACTTTAAAGTTTTAATCATAACAAATATTTTAATATTGGTTACTAACAATTAATTTAAAGCGCTCATCATAGTCTTCAAAACCTTTAATAATAAAATTGATCATCATCAAAAGATCAAGATCAAGACTTTCATTACAAATCAGACTTCACAAAGGAACTCAAGAGCGAAATCATGTCTTTCAAATATTCAAGGCATAATTCTTAAAGACAAGAGCTTAAGAGCCAATTTCAAGAAACATCAAATACTAGACTTTTTTATATCAAATGTAAAGGTATTAATATAGCGACAAATGATAAAAGTTCAAAAACTATTTTATGTACCAAAAATTATTTTGCTATCACTTGCATAAAATGATTTGATCAAGTTAAATTAGATTTTTAAAATGATATTTAAACTTAATTATTATTTCTAAAATATCATTTACATTTAAAAAACTAGTTGAAAAGCACTTTTCAAAACTCAAAGTTTTTCAAAACATTCGTTTGGCCAAATCGGATGATCAATTTGGCAGGCCGATCGACCGTTTGGTCCAATAGATCGA